GAAGAGTGTCTGTGACCCTTCCACAATATGTGTTTGCTCTTTCTGCTAGAGAGCATGGGATTTGCCACTGGCAGGAGGATGCAGCGAGTATCTCCATCCTGGCCAGAATAAAAGGGGAAGGCATTCAGTTAGGAGGTGCAGAGTTGGGCTTGAAGTTCAGTCTGGGAACACCAGTTGCTAGAATCACAGCAAGTTGCTCAAATGGCTAGTTGAAAGAAATGCCCATTGTTGACAAATTTCTGCACTTTTTTTCTTTTCTTGAGAACATCTGCTTTGGAGGAGAAATTCAAAATTATCAAGCAGTTCTTCTCTGGGCTTCAACGCATGTGCTGGCTTGTAACTTATTCATTCGACTGTCAGTCATTTAGAGATTAATCCACTTCTGTTTCTTCTCCACCCTGTTCTTTGTCTTGATCTTATGTGTTAGAGTAGACATAATGCCCTTGAAACCGGAGCTACCTTTGGTTGGTTCATCACAGTAACAACCCTACCTAAATCTTGTTGATAGATGGATGGATAGACTTCTGAAAATTACACACTATTATGCAGGACAAAATTCCATTTAAATGAGGAAAGGACCAGCCTGGGTAGGTTTGTATGTGCATCAGAGATCAGTGCGTGAGGTAATTTTATTGTATGCAGACCTTGTGTTTAGACTCTTAGTCACCCTTCATCATGCTAACTTTATGGTGGGATAACCACGCGTATGGGCGAAGGAAAGCATCTCTAGTGGGGGGTCTCGCAGGAAAAAGGTAGGAAGACTGTATACAAGATTGCTGCTAGAAAAGCATCATAGAGAGAATTCTTTGCTTCGTGTTTTATTGTGTAGTGTTGCTGCACGCTGTTAACAATCTCCTGCTTGCCTCTGGTTTGTACATAGAATCCTCCTAAATGAAACACCACCCTGTTCATTTTTATTTCAGTGCATGGAAAACCACAGGAAGGCTTATTAACAAGAACTGTGTTAAAATATACACTAAAATAACCTTAGAGAAGGCTCAAGTTTCCTTACAGGCAACCTGCATTGTTTAGATATGAACATGAACCGTACACTCTATGGTTCTTAGAGCAGCACTGACAGCAAGGTGTGGGGAGAAAGCTCTCCTGATGACAAGGTAGTATCCAGAACATAGAGCGACATTAGAAGACTCTAGAAGTGACTTGCAGATATAACAGCATGTGTCTTTTTTAACATGTGTATTTCTCTGGATTTCTTGACAGGAAGGCCTTAAATCATGAACTTTCTAAACTTTTCAATGACATGTGGGATATGGATGTTAACCGCCTTATACCTGGGAAAGACTACACAATTGATTTGCAGGTAACCGATTGCTAAATCACATGAGGATTAAGGGCAATATGGTACTGTAGGAAAAGCTGTCTGCAAAACTGCCTTTTGCTAAAAGAGTCGCCTATGCTTCGTCATTTCCACTAATGGCATAGGCAGGACTTCCTAATGACGAAGAATCACTTAGGAGAGGGAACAGTACAGAGAACACATTAATGGTCCACACTACCTGGAGGTTTCTTACAAGTGGAGTCTCTCAGGTGTTTGTCTTGGGTCCTTTTATCTTTATCAGTGGCCTGGAAGAGGAGATGGAGTGCAACCCTTCCAATTTTGCAGATGACAGCGAACTGTGGTGATGAAGATGGTATGCTCAAGCGTAGGGCTTCTCTTCAGCTGGACCTAGGCAGGCTGGAGGAATAGGCTGAGGAAGGAACACCATGAAATTCAACAAGGACAAACACAACCACAACAGGATGCCCAGAGAAGCTGTGAAATCTCCATCTCTGGAGGTTTTCAAGACCCAACAAGATGATACCCTGAGCAATATGGTCTGAATTCAGTGTTGACCATACTTCGAGCAGGACTAGAGATGTCCTGAGGTCCCCTCCACCTTGGATGTTTTTCTGTGTGTATGGCTGCTTGACTATATGGTCTGGGTGACTTGCAGCAAGGGAAAAGGGGAGATAGGTCCCAAGTCATTCTTGGGGGAATAAGGGAGGAATCTGAGGAATTCCTGGGTCCTTCCTGGAGAGTGTAGAGTAGCACAGAGGTGTGGGTGAGGAGGGTTTCAGGGTTGTTGCTACCAGTTCCAGGGAACTGTGAGAGAGGAGTGGGTATCAGATTCGATGGGCAGCCATTTCACTCCTTGCCAGCTTAGTGTAGTGCAAACATGACCATGTGTTTTGGCCACAAATCGCAGCAGGCCACTGAATATTCAGTATCCAATTTTGTACTCACATAAGTGCTCAAGCACTTGATTTCAGTGTTGCTTCATATTATAATTTTCTGTTGGTTATAAACTTGAAAAAGGGGTGCCGACCTCAAGCCAAAATGTGTGTGCGGAAAACTTCTCACATATGGTTTCTCCATTCCTAAGAACAGGCCTTTAGTTACCCCTTGTTAACAAACTGCTACTCATCTTTTCTCCTTTTTCCTTGAGAATGCCCTTTTTGGAACAGAGATTTGAAAATTGTCAGGAAAGCCTCCTTTCCATTTTTGGATATGCTTATTGGTAATATTGATTAAAATGCCCTTAAACATGGCCATCCAGAAGTCTTTGAAAACTTCAGAGCACCAGGATGCACCACTCCAAATCCGGTGAAGCTGCACAGAACTATCTCAGCATCTCCCTGGCACTGGGGTGACGGCTGGGACTGCAGTCATGAAGTCAGAAAACAAAGCCTGAGCCTGAGGGAGCCTACTCAGGAGATGGCTTGCTCAAGCATGATCACGGAGGAGAGGAGAATTAGTCTGGCTAGCTTGGGGACCAGGGACTCAGGAGAGAAACAACCCCTCTGTTGCACTGCATGGCCTCATAAACTATATGCAGTGGGTTACAAATGAACAGAGAAGGAAGGTGCCGAAATCTCCAAAAGGAGATTTATTTACAAATTTACAAATAGATAAAAATACTTATTTGTAAGGGGAGGGAGACTTGGCTCTACATTACTTCAGCATTTGTGATGTATATAGCATAGTAGCACAGCTGGTTACTGATCAGAACTGAGCTATCAGGTGGGTCATCACAATCATCTCTGAAAATGAGTCAACAGAGAAATTTCAGGCTCTTACAGTGTCAGAGATTATGTCTTTTTTCTTTACACTGACAGTTCTTCTGTAATGTCTTCTCATTTTTCGTAGGAAGACAATTCCTAACAAAGAAACCTGACAGCATTATGGGTTTTGTTTTGATTATTATAAAGGCAGGCATCGGATGCTCTAAGGACATCTTACTTCTTTCATTGTTTTACTCTGGTGTTTCTCCTAGGGAAAAGCAGGTGCCGCACAGCAAGGTGACAGTGCTGTCCAGGACAGCGCAGGCAGACATCTGTTTCACAACGTAAATGAAGAACGCCTGAAGAGCATAAAAAGTTTTGCAAGTGAGACCCATTCTTTTGTTAACGGTGGAAGTGACATGAAGAACCCGTGTTGCTTTTTATGGATTTGCCTAAAATATAACATATATAATTTGGATGGTGGTGAGGATCATCAGGCTGCAGGTCATTTGAAGGTAGTTTCCACAACATTTGCATGGAGGTTACCTGTAGCCTCAGCCTCAGGAAGAACATCCTTTTGTGCCTTAGCCAAAACCTGAATTTCTCCATGGTTCTTCCACTACAAAGTTGAATGGACGCGACTCTTGTCATTGCTTTGATGTTATTCCTTGTATTGAAAAAGATGCAAATGTCATCTTTCCTCCTTTGCTCACAGCTTCTAGCCCTTTCAGACAGCACTAAGTCCACAGTTAGTTCTTGCATTTCTGGTGGGTGCTATACTTCAAGCATGTCTATGAACGTATGTTTCCTTCCCTCATTTTTCTTTTCCCCCGATGGAGTTACATTAAGCTGATCAAACAGCCAGCATAACGGGGAGCCCTGTTTTTCTCTGTTCCCCCCACTCCTCTCTGAGCCACACAATCCTGTGCAGTATTATTCCTCTACTGAAGTAATGCCCACAAAGCCTTCGGCCAGCATAGCTCAAGTTCATAAGCTTATGTCTGTAATTTTGGTGGTCAGGTATGATTTTTTTTGGTAGAAGATCATTATTGCTTCAGCATTTGGTTCCATAAGGAAGCTCAGTAGTGAGCTGTTTATCTTAAAAAGAAGTACAGCAGTCGTCTGGCCTTGATTCACCTCTAGACCTACACCCAACAGTGTACCTACGAATGAAATTTGACATGTAAAGGCATGTCTAAGGGCTGTCAAGGCGTATTATATGGCATCTCTTTATGATGGCACTCTCTAATGTCTGGATCACAGGTATGATTAGGCATATGGCCTGTTCATCAGGATGAGCATGCTGAAAGTTTCTTTTTTTCTGCAGCCTTTATTTCCTTATTGGACAACTATGAGACATCAACTGGCATAGCAGAAGTAGTGACTCCAGAAGAAATAGTTGAAAACAATTCTTTTCTTGATGCTATCTTAGCAACAGAAGTCATGAAAGTGAGTAACACAGATCTTTTTTAGTTGCTGAAAACACTGAATTAAAAAGTAAACTGTGTATGTATCTTGATTTTCTGTCCTTCAGCTAGCTCATGAATATCTGCTTAAAAAAAAACTAGCAAAGCCAAACCTTGCTGATTTCAAACACCAGCTCTATGACATCTGGTTCCAGCTCTATGCCAGGAAAGAAGGAGACAGGTACGTTTGATGGATATGGCCCCTGATAATCTCTACACTATTCTGACCTAGGTAAATATATGCCCGAGTGCCATCTGTTACACACAGAACTGGAAGACAGCCTCAGAATATGGCCTAAATCAGGTGTCCATTGCTCCCACACAGACCACATTGAAAGACCTACTGATCAGATACTAACAGTTTTGACCCTTGGGGTACACCACTGGTGAATTGCCTCCGGCTCCACTTTGTGTCCCTAATCACAGGTCTTCAACTGCAGACATTCATCCACTTTTCAGCCCACCACATCATCCACTTTTCTAATCTGTACTTCATCAGTTTGTCTAGGAGTCTGTTATGGGAGATGGTGTCAGAAGCCTTGCTAAACTCTGGTTAAGCAGCAGTGATGCATCTGTGGCATTTATTAGCAACTTTCATCATCAAATACAAATTTAGACTTCTTGGCTAGATTTCATTGCAAGTTTTGTGCAAAGTTAAGAAAGAAAACCCAACAAAACCAGACAAATAAAAAAGCTGCTCACAAATCAACCTAAGCAAGCTTGTGCATCTTGCCTTTTACCTCTGCCAGTTCGAACTATTTAAACACATAAAAGACCTATATATTACTCTTTGGTTTATTACAGACCCGATTCTTGCGGTTTTGAACATGTTTTTGTTGGAGAAACAAGGCGTGGTAAACAGATCTTAGGTTTGCACAACTGGGTGCAATTTTACCTTCAGGAGAAGCGCAACCAAATTGACTACAAGGGATATGTCACTCGGAAGAACAAAACCAGGGTAAGAACAAGCAGGGTGCCTTTGCTAACAAGACAAATGGATCCAGAGATAAAAGCTGTGGTAATGAATCAAGGCACAACAATGCAATCATAGGCTCAACTGTTTTGAACTTAATTTGCCCAGGTGTATATATACAGAAGAAATAATAGCATGCCCTCAAGTCCAGCTTCTTTTTTTTGCAAAAACTATTTTAGAAAGTAGTGCTGGTGTTTACAGAATGGCAATACTACTGAAGCTTAATTGAGATAAATGATCATGTATGCTCCAGACAACAGGGAAAAAGCTGTGCTCCAGCTATAGCACCCTGGCACAGCAAGGATGACTCAATCTTGCAATGCTTTCAAAAATCTGGAGCCAGAAATTCTATCTGTCTGGTCACAGCTGTGTTGGAGATTATTCTGTTGTTTTGTATATGCTTTCAGCCTGATGAAGATGACCAAGTTTTGAGCATCCAGTTCAGCTGGAAGGGCTTGGTCAAGCCAATTGGAAGCACCTTTATTGGTGTCAGCCCAGAGTTTGAATTTGCCCTTTATACTGTCATCTTCCTGCTGGCTGAAGAAAAAGTCACACATGAAACAGTGAAGATAGAGGAATACGAGCTACAGATGGTTGTTTGCCGCCATGGGCGCCACATTGGAACAGCATATCCAGTACTCCTCAGCACCAGTAGTGAAGACCAGTAGTTAAAGTGATGAGGCAACATTTCTTTTTTTTTTTTTTGGGGGGGGGGGGGGGTGGGGTGGGTGGGTAAGGGACAGGACCGGATGGCAAAGTAAGTTGATGTGTTGTTTTATACAACTTATTTCAAGTAAAAATTGATGACTCGCTCGCTTTTGGTCTGCAATGGAGTGTTTAACCAATACTGTGCTGTGGCTCAGTGTCTGACAAACCTTGAAACATACTGCTGGCTCATAGGATCAAACTGGCTGGATCAAACTTACATCAGCCTTCCTTCATGCATGGTAACACTGTACTTTTCAGCAGATAATGGAACTTAGGAAAAGGCCATATTAAAATTGATACACATATTTATCTTATTTTATAGCTACTGCATATCTGAAAGAGCAATAACCACACATTGCTTACAGTTCACCTTCCAGACAAGAACTTTGATTTGGCACAAGCAGAACCACAGTACGTTTTTTTCTCCTCTCCTCATTTCATGAGTGGTTAATTTCAAATGCATTTTTACAATTACAATGCCCTGGACACACAGGAAACACATTCAGATGTGAGAATGGTCATCAGGTCAACAGCAGGTCTATCACTGCATCGGCTCTGCCCAGCTTTGCTAGAAGCCACAGTAGGCTTTAGCTCACCTAACTTTAAAAGCCCATGGTATAGGCATCTGCGTTCCCATTACAGGCAGCAACGCCTGCAGTCACCTATCTACCTGTGTAATCTGCATTACGGTTTCATGAATGACCCTGCATAATCCATTGACTAGAACCCAACTGACAATAATAAGATGTCCCTGGGGACACTGGTCCTAGTCCTGGACCTGGTCACTGGTCCTTCTGCTGCTGTGGATCTATCTGCCCCTATTCTTCCACAATGTGTTCAATAGTCCAACGAAAAGAATGTAATGCTTTTCCTTCTCATACCAATGCAGAAACAGGCAGATGCTGAGACCCTCTGAGAGCGTGACAAGAACTGGTTAGATACTCACATGCCACAAGAATTTCTTCAACAAAGCAAGGATCTTTACTCATACTGGTAAAAGAACTGCTTTTATCTGTTTGTTTCCCCAAAGATCATTTGAAAGCAAGAAAAACTTTACACTGAGCCACACAAGGATTTTAAATGTTTTCTGTTTCTTAAAGCAAATTTCGTATACTCCCCATATACTTCACCAGCTGTAGGACTCTTTACCACCCAGGGAATTTGGTCCTAAGCTCCAGTAAAGTGTGTCCAAAGCACTGGCTGGCATTTATTTACATACTTAGAAATATTACAGAGAGCAAGCTAAGGGTTCCTACAGCTGTTGAAACTACATGAGAGCTTTTTCAGGCCTGATAGACAAGATGAGCAATTGAGAGAACAGCAACAGAGGAGCAACTGATAGGCACCGATGAACAAGTTCACCCTTCACTGCAGTATCAAGGACTACTGAAGGACAACAAAAGAGTCTGAACTGAGGTTCTGGTGTATATTTGAAGCACGTAGGATCTGAGGCAGATACTGGAAATGGTACAAAATCACTGAGCTGTCACACAGAATACCCGCTCCGTGGGCTAGAAACCAACTCTGTGGAAGGTGAAAGGCACTCAGTTTCCTTCAAAGTGGGGAACTTCCCTGCAGCCAAGGGCCCACAGATCACACTGCAGACCCTGACTGCTCTTCAGAGTCCTTCTTCATCTTCGCATATGTGGCAGGGCAGAACTGAGAATACAGCTGAGCCAGCAAAGCCTGGGACGTGATCTCTAGCTTTGTCCCATGGCTCAGTTTGTTCCATACGTGTACTGCGTATGTGTTCTTAAGGAGCTTCTGAAGCTCCGAGGGGCTGATTGTTTCAAATAACTTCTTCCAGTCCTCCCAGCGAATAGGATAAAAAGCTTCTGGGGAAAGAGCACTCACGCCTTTGCAGTTCATATCGTTCTGGATATTTTTGATGGAGCACCACCTCTTGAAGACACGCGTTAGGAGCTCTGGGCCCTGGTGCGCCCAGATCCAGCCATTGTAGTTATCCACAAAGTCCTGCATGCAAAGCTCCATGAACTCATGCTTGGGTTTAAAGGACAGAAAGGCCCCATTCAGTACATCCTGATCCTGGATACCAAGGGCATTGGTGAGGTTCTTTAAGTTCTTAAGCACAATGAAGTCTGTGTCCAGGTAGATGCCACCAATTTTCCACATGATGGTAATTCTGCAGGCATCAGACAGGACGGCTAGGAAATAAGGCTCCCAGCGGTGCTGAGCCTGTGAGTACCACTTTGCCAGAGGTGTTCCAGAGAAAAGCTCTGGCAAGTCCAGGGGCCGGATTTCCACGTTGGGGAAGCAGCTCAGCAACGAGAAGCCCCAGTGGTTGGGTAACGAGGCGTTAATGTTTGCCAAGGCTTTCATGAGCACCACGACCCTTGTCTCCGGGTGCGTCCGAGCCGCTGACTCCACAGAGCACATGAACAAGTAACTTGGATTAGTTCGGTCCGAGGTCTCCACAAAAAACACATCCCCTGGGGAAGGAGGGGGCTCACCAGCAGTGGGACGGGGAGGAGAAGGCAAAAGCTGTTCACATCTGCTTTGTGTAGGCAAGCTGTAGATCTGGCCCTCAGTGTCCTCCCCAGTTCTCCAGTAGAACATGACAGAAGCAAAGAACACAAATGAAATAATGAGGATAAACAGAGCCTTGAGCTTGTGGCTCAGCAGCGCTGAGGTCAGTTTTGGGAGGCAGCTGAACATCCTGGGCGGTCTCACTCCTGTCAGAGCCTGCTCTCCCAAGACAACCGTTGTGATCTGGAGAGGAGGAAAGAAGAAAAAGACATTGACAGGGAAGGCAACAGACCACAAGCCTTGAGACAGTGCCACGGCAGAGCAGAACTCTCCTTCCTTCACCTCAGGGCAGCATGCTTAAATTATGCCTTTTGGTCATTTCTGAAACAGTCTCCTGGCTTCTCCATATTGTCAGAGGGCCTTCAGATCCCACATCAGAAACTAGTGCCCATCTTTAGATCCCTCTCTTTCAAACACAAAATAAGGACAAGTCTCTCCTTTCTGTATACCACAAACCAAGACTGATCCTCAGTTCTGTCTGTGTATACTGTCCATGTAAGTTGTGCTTGCCACCTGGAAGGATATACAGCATATGACAGACAAATGGCATACCTTCATGGTGGTGCGCAACAAACTCTGGGAACAGCATTAGAGACCTTACCTATCATCTAGAATTTCATGTCATTCAGGACATGAGACATATATGCAAAAAACCCTAGGATGAGGAAATGGGAATGCTCCTTATGAATATTCCTGGAGCTCTGTCAACAGACATTGTGTGGAACTGCTGCCCTGATGAGAGTTTTTTCTCCTGATACACAACCTGTCCTTCCTCAAAACCAAAAACAATACTAAAACCCCAGTGCTGTCATCAGTTCTTATCAAGAGACCTCAGACTCTCAGACTGTTGAGCCAGCAGTTGCCGCCTTTCGAAATCAGCCACCTGTCCCTACAGATAGCCTGGTTCATTTTTTATGGCACTGCAGAACAGCAGAATGGATGGATAGTGGGAGGGGAATTGATATAAGGCAGCTTTGAAGGCAGATGCAGAACATAAGCACAAGAACTGCCTAGGTAAAGAGAGTTTCAAGGCTGCTTCCCAACCCTGCTCCCCTGCCAAGTCCTCACTTCTACCTCCTCTGGTAGGTGGTGCTGGCTAACCCAACTGTCACTAACCCAGGATGCAAAGGCCATGCTGGCTGTGATCTGCTCAGCTCTGCCACTGGAATTACCTGGGGACGGATATGCAATCCCCTCTCCACCCTACCCTTACTTCCTCTCGTCCTCCTGCAAAAGGGAGGGATGGAGAGGAAGAGATTATTAACAAGGCAGCAACAAAGGAGAAGTCATGCTAGCTACATTCTCAGCATTAGCATCAGCATTTCTGCCCTGGCTTCCCTTTAAAGCGAAGGACAGCAGAACCAGTACCTCCTGGGGTCACCACTGGGGTTCCAAAGGTCAATGTGCAAAAACACGTGAAGAAACAGCGAGGAGGATTGTGGCATTTAGGACAAGAGGAAATGGTTTCAAGTTGCACCAGGGGAGGTTTAGATTGGATATTAGAAAAAATTTCTTCACTGAAAGGGTTGTCAAGCACTGGAACAGGCTGCCCAGGGAAGTGGTGGAGTCACCATCCCTGGAGGCATTTAAAAGATGTGTAGACATGGTGCTTAGGGACACGGTTTAGTGGTGGGCTTGGCAGTGCTAGGTTAACGGTTGGATTCAACGTTCTTAAAGGTCTTTTCCAACCTAAATGATTCTGTGATTTCTCCTGCCTCCCTCTGCTCTATCTCCAAATCCCCATGCTCCAGAACACAGAGCTTCAGGAAACAGCAAAAGCTTTAATCAAACAGCTGTCATCAAACAGACAGGGAACAGGACAGAGAACCCAGTTGGCACGGTCCCATTTGTCCTTCACCCCTGGTCACTGCAACTGGGTCACATATTAAACTCCCCGTGTAGCCAGAAAATGACTTGTCAGCTGCACTGGGAGGTTTCCAAATGCGACAGCACGGAGCCACTGCTCTCCACTAGAAACTGGGGCTTGGGGGGCAGAGGAGAGGCAGCCAATACACAAATCATCAGCTCTGGATTCCCAGAACATTTTCTTCTTCTGCAGAGAAATGCCACCATGTGCTGTAAGTGTTACAGGCAGCAAAAAAAAAAACATTCTGCTTTTTACATACCTATTTCCCCCTCCCTCCACACCCAGTCAGTTGAATCCTGTAAATCATTTTTAGCTTGGTAAGCTGTAGAACAGAAAGCAGGGACAGGCTTGAGGGGACAGAACCTTTGCCGTAGAGAAGGCAGGAAAGTGCGGCTCTAATCTAACAGTGAGCAAGCTTCAAGGTTACACGTATATTTTCAGTAAGAGGAGGAACTTCTACTACAATCGCACTTCTATATATTTAGAAATACATTTCTGCTTTTGTAGCGGATAAGAGGACATTTTAGACGCTGCATTATCCAGTCCACTTATTTCACAAAACAAACACAGGACATTTGGCTCTCTACCTTCCTCTGAAATTGCAAGTGCCATTGCACAGAAACTGCAAATACTACTCACCTGTCCCTGCTTTCAAGACACCACAGAAGTCACTGCTCAGCCGGACAAGGTTTTCAAGAGGTTAGTGTCTCCGAGAGCACTTATAACTCTATGGTCTGGCACTTCCTTTTTCTGAAAAGAAATTGTGAAAGATGGAGTCTGAACACATGGTGAAAACAAGCAGATCAAAGAGGATGTGACATCATACGCTCAGCTAATACAGTGCCTGATATAAGGGTCCTGCAGCTGTGCTGTGAAGAACCCATCTAATTAGAAATGAATCAGAAAAAAAAAAGAAAAAAACAAAAGAAGGAAATGGAAACCCCATTACTGCTACACATTAAGCTTTACACTGCAGCAGGAAACCGGTTGCTGTTTTGTTTTCTACTCCTTTGCTAAGAATTCCCAGTGCTCACGCCGTTTGGGTGGCTGCCACGAGAACTGAGCTGAGAGTTTCATCGAGCTGCCTCCTCCCACCCCAAGACTTCAGTTCTGAATGCTCCTTTGAACACGCACTCTTTCGACCAATTAATTTACTCATTCATTTGGGAGTACTCCCTCTTATGCCAGATACTTCACTGAATGACTTCGCCAAATTCAGACGGCCTTCATTGTATGACAGAGTTCCTCCTTGTCCCTGTGCTCGATGGTGGCTGGCCTTCTCTTACAGAAGATGTGTTGACGCGTTCATAAAATACCACCTCTGTCCATACAACCAGCAAACTTAGAGTTTACTGCAGTTTCTACTCAGCTGCCTGCAACAAATGTCAGGCCTATTGCTCTGTAGCTTCCCAGACCCCTCTCCCCTCCCCAAATCCTTCCAAGCACTGCAGCACCATGGACACTCATAAGATGCCAACACTAGAGAAGCTCTTTGGAAAGCACCTTAAGCTATTCCCAGCCCTTTGATTGATGGAGCTCTCCAGGCCTCAGGTCAAGTCCCATCTACTCACAGAATCACAGAAGGGTTGGGGTTGGAAGGCACCTCTAGAGATTATTTGTCCAACTCCCCTGCTCAAAGCAGAGTCACCTGCAGCAGGCTGCTCAGGACCATGTCCTTTGAGCTTCTGACCTTATCCAAGGACAGAGACTCCACAACTTCTCTGGGCAACCTGTTCTAGTGTTCAACACCATTTCTTTCATTCTAATTTCCTGTATTTCAATTTCTGCCCATTGTATCTCATCTCATCACTGAATTCCACAGAGAAAAGTCTGGCTTGTCTTCTTTACGCCACCCATCTTCCATCAGGTATTTATACACATCAACAAGACACCCCCCCCAGCCTGCTCTTCTACAAGAAAAATCATCAGACCTCTCTCAGCCTCTCTTCGTACACCACGTGCTCCAGTCCCTTTCTCATCTTAGTGGCCTTTCACTGGACTTGCTCCAGTATGTCCATCTCTCACTTTTACCGGGGAGGCCCGAGCCAGCACTCCAGATGTGTCTCACCAGTGGTGAGTAGCACAGAAGGATTGCTTCCCTTGACCTTGCAGGCAATGCTCTATGTAACACAGCCCAGCAGGCTGTTGGTCTACTTTGCCATGAGGGCACTGTTGGCTCCTAGTCAACTTCTTGTCCACAGGACCATCAGGCCCTTTTCTGCCAAGATGCCTTCCAGCTGGTCAGCCCATGTACTTTTCTCCTCCTCCCAAGTCTATCACTGCATCGGCTCTGCCCAGCTTTGCTAGAAGCCACAGTAGGCTTTAGCTCACCTAACTTTAAAAGTCCATGGTATAGGCATCTGCGTTCCCATTACAGGCAGCAACGCCTGCAGTCACCTATCTACCTGTGTAATCTGCATTACGGTTTCATGAATGACCCTGCATAATCCATTGACTAGAACCCAAAAGATATCCCTGGGGACGCTGGTCCTAGTCCTGGACCTGGTCACTGGTCCTTCTGCTGCTGTGGACCTGTCTGCCCCTTTTCTTCCACGATGTGTTCAATAGTCCAACGAAAAGAATGTAATGCTTTTCCTTCTCATACCAATGCAGAAACAGGCAGATGCTGAGACCCTCTGAGAGCGTGACAAGAACTGGTTAGATACGCACATCCCACAAGAATTTCTTCAACAGAGCAAGAAACCTGCTAATGCATATTTTCTGACAATACATGATTTGCAAAATACTGCATACAATTTTCACAGCCTTGCTTGCTAAATTTAAAAGCCCAGATAACCAATGCAGTGCTGGAAATATGCAAAGAAAAAACAAAACAAAACAAAACAAAACAAAAAAACCCTCCAGGTCAAACAAAAATTGTAAAGCGTACAGAGACGCCTTACTGCATAAGGTAAAGGCTGACATTTAAATGATAGCAAGTTTCCCTTGTTCCAAGCACAAAAAAGATAAAACATAGTACAAAGGGAACAGACATACAGTTACTACCATAGATGATCTGGTAACTCTGCTGCGCAAGGCCTTCAACCAATCTGATGCTGCTGGATCAGCCCACGCTGACGTCTAGTCTTGGTGCCCCAAAGGGGTACCGGAGCATCCTGCACTGAGCAAAGGCGTTCCCTGCCCTATGTGACTGTAAACGTGCTTCACTGACATTATGCTTGGTAGCAAAACCACAGACAGCAAAAAATTGAAACAGCCAAAACTGGATGATAACTGGATGATTGGGTGATGGTACAACATAACTTGTACATGAAGCCAAACAAGCACCACCAGTTCC